ATAATGGCCTGGAACAGGCAGTCAAGGATGGCCTGAGTATTTGAGTCCTGCCAGCCCTGTGTGAGTCCTGGAAAACACTCCTGGCTCCTGGCTTCAGCCTGGCCAGCGCTCAGCATTGTGGCTACTTGGGAGAGGACCAGTCAATGAAAGATAGCCATATTCTTTTTGTCTGTCTGTCTGTCTCTGTGTCTTTCTCTCTGTGTCTCTCTCGGTCTGACTTTCAAATAAATGATCTAAAAAAATGTAAGTTTCTGTTTCTCCCTCTACTCTGGACAAGCATGACCCTTGAGGGCATACTGGAAAGAGGTAGATATCCACGTCAGTATGGCCACTGGTAAACTTTATCAATTTCAGGCCCGGCACTGTGGCCTAGCAGCTAAAGTCTTTAGATAATTTTTTAAATTAATTTCCTTGTATTTTGCTTTGCTTTTTTTTTTTTTTTTTTAAACTTATTTGAAAAGGCAGAGTTACACAGAGAGGGGAAGGGCCTGAGGGAGACAGGGAGATTGTCCATCTTCTGACTCACTCCCCACATGCCAGTAGCCTCAGCTAAGACAGGCCAAAGCCTAGGGTTTGCAGCCACATCCAGGCCTCCCACTTAAGTGCCAGGGATCCAGCTGTTGAGTCCTCACCTGCTACCCTGTGGGCTTTTTGAGGTTTTATGTTTCTATAACAAGACCATAAATTTCCATTCCACAATTTGATGAATTTCAAAATACACAATTATATGTTTTTATATTAGGCATCTAGTGAGAAGAACAAGTTCTGGGGAGGGTAGCATTTTGTTTATTCAGGTTCAACATTTCAGTGTTCCTTTATCAGCAGAATCACCCGCAAGGGGTAATTTGTTAGTGCTGATTTGTAACGAGCATTTGGAACTTGTGAGTTAACCAGTGGTCACTGCTTGGAGTCGTGTTGGTAGAATTCTGTTAGCCCTGTCTGTGTGTTACTTCCTAGCGTGCCATTACATTGCAAATTGCCACTTCCAGTTGAAGTTAAATGGACACTCTTCATTTGCACAGTTAAATGGGTTTTGCACTTGCACTGGAGTCTGAATAATACTGTTGCAACCTTAGTTTGAATTTGGAAATTTGTGTGGGAATGAAGCATTCACTTCTTATTTTAGTTTTCAGCAACAAAGAGTGTGTAAAGCAGTTTGATGCTGTTTATGTTTCAAACAATGCCAGTTGTTGAAATGCCTGCTGGAGTAGAAGTTTCACCAAAACTGTTGTTTTGCCTTACAATTTGGGCAGAAATTGAATCAGATCTTCAGAAATAGAATCAAATCTTCCTGAGGACGAGTTTTCAAAGGTGTACAGGGTGTTTAACAGCAGTGATTGAAGGTAGTCCTTCTTAAGGGAGAAAAAATCAATTTTGTCATATTTTCAAAAAACTTTGCTAAAACTTTTATCTTCATTTTAACAAAATACCTTTTTGTTAGAGAAAAAAAAAGATTTATTTATTTATTTGAAGGCAGAGAGAGATCTACTCACGGGGTTCACCCCCTAGTGAGCCAGGATGGCCTGTTGACCAAAAGCAGAACTGCAACTGTCATCTGAGTCCCTGACTGGGAGCAGGGCCCAGACCATCTCCCCTGCTCTTGAGGACATTAACTGGGCCTGGGTGGGAAGCGGAGCAGCCAGGACTTGAACTGGTGCTGCTATAGGATGCCTGTGTTGCAGGGTGCAGTGCCACAATTCTGGCTCCTTATCTTCTATTTGTGACCAAAATTCACCACCTTGATGATGTTCAAGTTCCTGACGGCACATTCAGTGTATCATCGACACCTCTGATTTAAAAACAAATGACACGGACTCCTGGGAGACTTAACTTTTTTTTAAAAAAGACTTATTTATTTTCATTGGAAAGAAAGATTTTCCATTTGCTGGTCCACTTCCCAAGTGACTGCAATGGCCAGAGGTAAGCCAATCTAAAGCCAAGAGCCAGGAGTTGCTTTGGGTCCCCGGAAGGTTCAGGGTTTCCAAGGCTTTGGGCCATTCCCCCCTGCTTACCCAGGCCGAAAGCAGTGGGCTGGGTGGGAAGTAGAGCAACTGGGATAGTTACTGGTGCCCATATGGAATCCTGGCATATGCAAGACGAGGATTTAACCACCAGGCTATCTGGCTGGGCCTGTGAAAGGAATTTCTAAAAGTGTATTTTTAAATATTTGTAGTACAAGTATAGAGGTTACTCTGTATTTAATTTTCTTTAAGGAAAAAAAAAAAAGAAAATAGTAACCAATAATGCCACAAGGTTACCTTTAAGTAGCAATAAAAAAAAAAGGGGGTAGTTCAGGTCCCTATCTCTTACAAAGCTTGAACCTAGATGTGTTACATATTTAAGAAATTTTTTTCCAGGGGGCTAGTGCTAGCGACTGGTGGGTTCAGGCATTGCTTGATGCACCAGCATCCCATTTGGAGCCTGATCAGGTCCCAGCTGCTCCACATCAGTCCAGCTCCCCACCAAGTGTCTGCTTAAGCAGCAGAACATGCATGGTCCAAGTGCCTGGGCCTCTCCACCCAGGGGGGCTGTTGTTGTTGTTGTTGCTTTAAGATTTATTAATTAGTTTTGGTATTTTTGCATTTATTTTCATTTCTTCAAAACGGGTTTTTTCTTATTAGTTTCTTCACTGACTCATAGATCATACAGTAGCTTCGTTTTCTTCAAGAAGGTTTTTGATTTTCATTTCTTCAGCAACACATTGGCCACTCAGTAGCTTGTTATTTAACTTTATATTATTGTAATTTTTTTTTCTTCCTGTTGTTGATTTTGTTTTCTGGCTTTTCATTTAAGGGAATGTGTAGTCACTGTGTTTTAGAAACTATCATATCCAGATGTGAAGATACAAGCCAATATGCATCTTTACTTCCAGATCAGAGATAGACTGCCAAATTGTTAACATAAAATAATAAAAATAAATTTTTTAAAGAAAATAAAGATTTATTAATTAGCTTATTTATTTGAAAGGCAGAGTTCAGAAAGAGGAGGAGAGGCAGCCAGTGAGCTGCCAGTGTTGCAGCAGTAGCTAAGATCGCTACAGCGTGCACAGACCAGTTACGTGTCCTGCTTTATTATTTTAAGATCTTTTTTTTTTTATTGGAAAGGCATAGATACAAAAAGAAGGAGATACAGAAACAGAAGTCTTCTATCTGCTGGCTCACTCTCCAAGTGACCACGACAGCTGGAGCTGAGCTGATCCAGTGCCAGGAGCTTCTTCCAGGTCTCCCACATGGGAGCAGGGTCCCTCGGCTTTGGGTCATCCTCGACTGCTTTCCCAGGCCACAAGCAGGGAGCTGGATGGGAAGTGGAACAGCTGGGATAAGAACTAGTGCCTATTTGGGATCCTGGCAGATGCAAGGCAAGGATTTAACCACTAGACTATGGCACTGGGCCCAGACCAGTTTCTTTTAACACAACAGACAATAGGAAGTTTGTAGGTTAGTTTCCAGTTCCACTGGAAATTAAATCATCGCTTGTTAGATTTTTGCTACAATAATAAAGAATATTTACAGTTGTTGAAAGATTTTTTTTTAAGATTTATTTTACTTTTATTGGAAAGTGAGATATACAGAGAGGAAGAGAGACAGAGACAAAGATTTTCTGTCCAATGATTCACTCCCCAAGTGACCGCAATGGCCGGTGCTGTGCCGATCCGAAGCTAGGAGCCAGGAACTTCTTCCTGGTCTCCCACATGGGTGTAGGATCCCAAGGCTTTGGACCATCCTCGACTGCTTTCCCATACCATAAGCAGGGAGCTGGATGGGAAGTGGGGCTGCTGGGATTAGAACTGGTGCCCATATGGGATCCCAGCGTGTTCAAGGCGAGGACTTTAGCCGCTAGGGCACGGTGCTGGGCCCGAAAAAGATTATTTTTAAAAAACCCTCCAGACACATTTTTGTATACTGCCATAGTTTCTTGCAGTGAAGACGTTGGGAATGGACGGCATGTCTGCTGGACTGCAGAAGCGGAGGAGCCTGCTGCACAACGGTGTGTTAGTTTTTCATGGGCCCGTTACTGATACTTGGAGTTTTTCAATGCTTGAATTTCTAAGTTTTATTTAGTGTGGAAAGCTGTAACCCGTAAAATACAAGCATCTTAAGATCCTCAAGAATTTTAAGACATGGAGAGATTTTGAGGTCAAAAATAGCATAAGATTTACTGGTTTAGGGCCTGTGATTCAAAGTGTGGACCGAGGTATTCCTTCCCCACACTCCCAACCAGTGATTGTCCTATACACTATGGAAGCTTCTGGAACTTGGGGAAGCATTTCTAGGCAGCAAAGGTACCACAGCAGCTGCAACAAACTCCAGTCGGAAGAGGAACACCCAGGAGTAGGAACCAGAAGACCAAACCCAGAGCCCCTCCCTCGTGTTCCCTGGTTTCAGGTTGCTTTCAGCCATTTGTTCTCGAGTTTAGGAGTTCGAAATTGCGTAGGGGTCAGTGGAAATCTGAGCTGGAAAAGGAAGGCCCGGCAGGCAAAGCTCTCCTGCACTCACGCTGCAGTGTCATCCAGAATCCTCCCAGGGAAGGCCTGTGACTGGCCTGTGCCTGTGGGGAGAAAGTTCTACACCGTGCCCTCCTCTCACCTCTGATTGGTCTCTGAAGCTGACCACCATTGCTGCTGACTTCAGATGTGGTGCCAGTGCAGTCACAGCCACATTTCGGTTGGAGATGGATGTTTATCTCCATTCGCTTTTGCCTTTCACTTATATTTTCCCTGTTGCATCCATCTTAGGCATGCAAGCAGTCCGTCCCTGCAGAGTCCCTTGGTCCATCACTCTGAGACACACTTGTGAAGTCAGCCGGCCTTTGCTCATCGACAGCATAGTGGCACGGCAGACTTTCATACAGTTTGTAGAAGTGCTGTTGTTTGGTGTGATCAGTGACTAAACAGAGTGTGTTTAGATTCAGTGTTCAACTAGACAGTATCATATAAACTGTTGTAGCAAGAGCTTTCACATTTGAGTCCTAATCATTGCTTGTTTCTTTCTTGTTTTTAGGGTGAATCCGTAAAGTATTTCCTGGATAATTTGGATAAACTTGGAGAACCAGTAAGTTTTAAAACTGAATGTTTATGAATTTGTTGTTGTTTGGTTGGTTTTTTTGGTCATTTGAAAGCAGTTGTCAGCGTAATTGATACTTTATATTTGGAGACAGAGTGTTTAAAAGTTTTAGAAAAATTACACATTGATTTTTTTTCCCTTAGTAGAAATCCTCTTCCAGTTTTATTTTAGAGTGATGGATAGCTGTGAATATTGAATGATTCCTACTTTTTTCAAAATGTGGAACAAGATCTAAGTTGCCGTTCTGCCTGTTCTTCCTCTGCTGTTCAGGTTATCTGTTGTACTTCTGTACTTCTGAGCCAGTTTCTACAGTAGAACTAGAAACCTTGTGACTGTTGCACAAGCAGCCCTCTCCAGTTTGGGAGTGCCCTGGCTTGCATTCCTGAGGAGGAAGACTGGATGCTGCAGGCTGGAGTCGCTCCTGGTCTCCTGGGACGTGGTCTCTGCAGGCATCCCCTCCCAGACCCATGGCAGGCGGAGCAGTGCTCAGGTGGTTCCCTGCCTTGGACAGGTGCAGCTCATCCAGAGAAAAGCTGCAGCTCCTAGGACATCTGAACCCCATCCCTGTAGTCATTTGTTACTTGATTTAGTGTAGCTTCACTTGCCGCCTCTTCAAGCCAAGTTTTGTTATAAATTTTCAATGTAGTCTTAGGCTCTTTGATGTTTTTAACTTTTAAAATCGAACTAGAGGGAAGCTCAGATGGGTGCTGTTGCAAGCAGGAAGTTAGTATACTAATATATTTAGGGTATGTGGAACAGTGCCATCTTTCTTCCCTGCCAGCTTGTTTTTATATTTTTATATTTTTCCCAGTATTTTATATTGCATTTGTCTGCACTTAAATTACTGTGTTCATCTCCTACATGTCTCTTGGATGTAAGATTTCTATAATTTGTTAGTTTTTTACTCGGATAGTACTTATCAGTGAAATTGGAGTTTTTACATTATTATTTTACCAGTTGTTCAGATTGTAAACTTTAAAAAAAATTTTTTTAACTTGAAAAAGTTATACACACACAGAGAATGAGTATCTTGCACCTGCTGGCTCCCTTCCCAGGTGACCGCTCTGGTCAGGGCGTTTCCTTGTCAGCTGGCCCACCGGTTAGTGCACCACGCAGTGGCTCCTCTCCTCTCGGTCTCAGGAGCAGCTCAGGTTTTTCCCTCTGCTGCACGTCTGGGAGTTGGTGATCATGTTATGCTTGTCTTAGCTTAAGAACAACTCTGGGGATGGATCTGGAACAACAGCAACAAAACAAACACCACTGTCGGCAGCAGCACTTCATTGTAAAGGACAGGAAAGTCAACTTGGCGTACAGGTCACAGGATAAGAGCCCTGCTGGGCCAGGAGTTCTGCAGCCAGACTGTCTGGTCCCCTCCCAGCTCCATCATGGATTGGTATGACCTCGGATGTCTCTTAATGACAGCTTCTTCCTTCACCGCATGGGCATAGTAAAGGAGCGGAGCTCACCGAGTCACGGGATAATTGCATGAGGCAAACCCAAAGGGGCTAGCAAAGTAGGGAATGCTCATTGCAAGCTATTTTGTCCCTTGATCTCAACATTCAAGGAGCTCAGACTACTCAGAACTAAATGTATAAGACCTAGTAGAAGGCAATTAAGTGATACTGATCATGAAGATAATGATAGTTCATGGACTGAAAGAGATGTCTGGAATTGGAGCTGGCCTGCACACATCAGTGCACTTCGACTGCCTGCAGGATAGGTTGGATTTCGTCACATGGGGGGTGTGGCCCCTCAGAGGCAAGGCAGCTGGACAGACTTCCCTTTGAAGACACGTGTCTGACAAAGGTTATCTGAAGCCCTTCTAACTCGGAGAAGCATTTAAGAATGAATTCCTTTTTAAAGAATTATTTTTATATTTAGTTTTGTTTGAAAATCAGAGTTATAGAGAGAGGGAAAAAAGAGAGCAAGATTATCCATCTTCCAGTTGCCGGGTCACTCCCCCACGTGGCCACAGTGGACAGAACTGGGCCAGTGCAAAGCAAGGAAATGGGAATCTGTCGGGTTTCCTGAACGGAAGCAGGGTGGGCCTTCCTCTGCTGCCTCCCCAGCCCATTAGCAGGAAGCTGGATTGGGAGGGGAGCAGCCAGGAAGCAAAGCAGCTCCTATAGGATTCTGGCACCCCAGGCAGAGGCTTAACCTGGTAGCACTGGCCTAAGAAACATTTCTAGAAGGCAGTAGCTTAGATTTTTATGTATGTTCTTGTACTGCTGAAGAACTCCAAGAACATGTGACAGTATTAAGATATTAAACTTCGTATAAACCTTAAATTTTTTTTCTATTAATATTGAATAGAGCCTACCAGCTCCATTCTTCCCAATTTCTTAATGCAGTGAATAAGATACTGTTACGGACTAAAGACACCAGCTGTGCTGTAGAACACTAGAATTCATAAAATCCTGTCCGATTGTGGTGCGGTACATATTACTCAACTACTCCCTCTTATCTTTCCACCCTTACCCCACTAATCACAATTCTGAGTTCAGAGAAACTATTTATCTTAATTTCTGCATATGAGAGACAACATGTGGTATTTGTCTTTGTGCATCTGCCATGTTTCACTTAACCTAATGACCTCCGGTTCCATCCTTTGCTGCAAATGCCAGGATTTCATTCTTTTTTTATGGCTGAAAAATATTCCTGTGTTTTTAACCGCAGTTTTCTTTATTCATTCACCCGACTGTGGATACCTGGGCAGATTCCGTATCTTGGCTCTTGGGCATGCTGTTTTGTGCAGGTCTTTTTAGTGGGCACTGTAGTGAGGCCTGTGGGGTCAGTCACGTACTGGTTCCAGAAACCAAGCCACAAGGAGGGCCCAGCGCCTGCACAGAGTTAGGCTGCCATGCAGTGAAGGCCTCCTGTAGCTGCTAGTGGCATGGCCCCAAGGGTGAGCGTGGAAGAGACTCAGAGTGACACGGAGGTGGAGCCAAGAGATGGGGACTCTGGACAGCAAAACAGGGGAAGAACCAGGGACTGTGCCTGAGCAAAAACAAGGGGGACAGTGAGAGGAAAGAGGAATTCAGAGAAAGTATAAAACCCAGAGGTATGAGGCCAACAGGAAGAGGCGGGATTTGTTGGCCGGGCTGACGTAGGAAGGAATACTTGCTGTTGGGACCCGGAAGGTTTCTTACTGAGAGCGTAGTGCTTGGTTGTGAATGGATTATTAAGTGCACGTGATTGGTTAACAATTAGAAAATGGATGAAGCTGTACCCAGAAAGTACAATCTCTATTTTACAAGTGAGGACATTGAGACATGGGTGAAGTGACTTGCTCGGCCTCACGGAGCCGGTGTGTGGCTGGGAGCTAGCGGCTGTGGAAGTCACTCAGTGAACATGTTTTTCAGTTTTTCTTTACTGGAGTCACAGAGCACCCCCATCTAGTGCTTCCCTCGGCACATGCCCACAGTTGTTGGGACTGGGCTGAGGACAAAGCTAGGCCCCGGGATGCGGTCCACAGCGCTAACTGGCTGGCAGGAAGCCAGTTACTGTCACCTCGGTGTCCCGGCTCTGCGTTGCAGGAAGCTGGAATTGGGTACGGGAGGCAAGTATTGGGTCCAGCCCCTGGACATGGGGTGTGGCATTCTCTGCTGCTGAGCCAGCACCCACTCTTACCCTTCCACGTGTTTAGAACTGGATTACAGTGTTCTGTGCCCCGTGTTGGTAGGTGTTAACCTCCTAACTAGATTTTTAACTCTGGATAAAGAATAACAACACATTTTTTTTAGGGCATTAAAAAATTATTAAGGGAAGGGCCCGGCGCGGTGGCGCAAGTGGTTAAAGGTCCTCGCCTTGCACCCCCGGGATCCCATATGGGCGCCGGTTCTAATCCCGGCAGCCCCGCTTCCCTTCCAGCTCCCTGCCTGTGGCCTGGGAAAGCAGTCGAGGACGGCCCAAAGCTTTGGGAACCTGCACCCGCGTGGGAGACCCGGAAGAGGCTCCTGGCTTCGGATCGGCATAGTATCGGCCCGTTGCGCTCACTTGGGGAGTGAATCATCGGACGGAAGATCTTCCTCTCTGTCTCTCCTCTCTGTATATCCGCCTTTCCAATGAAAAAATAATAAAAATAAATCTTTAAAAAAAAATAAAAAAAAAAAAAAATTATTAAGGGACCCGGCGCAATGGTGCAGTGGTTAAGGTCCTCACCTTGCACGCCCAGGATCCCGTATGGGCGCCAGTTCTAATCCCGGCAGCTCCACTTCCCATCCAGTTCCCTGCCTATTGCCCGGGAAAGCAGTCGAGGATGGCCCAATGCTTTGGGATCCTGCACCCGCGTGGGAGACCCGGAAGAGGCTCCTGGCTTCGGATCGGCATAGCATCGGCTGTTGCGCTCACTTGGGGAGTGAATCATCGGACGGAAGATCTTCCTCTCTGTCTCTCCTCTCTGTACATCCGCCTTTCCAATAAAACTAAAATAAATCTTTAAAAAAAATTTTATTAAGAACTGTAAGACCTACACATTTTGGAAGTAACTGGCATAGATATGTACTATAAATTGGTACTACCTTGCCTTATCACCTACTCGTAGAAATAGGCCAGAAGTGAAGAAGATGTGCATGAGGATTTTAATCGCAGTATTTCAGTGGATTATATCAAAACATGGAAAATAATGGAAGTGATCTCTAGTAGGGAGACACTGATATGCACTGTGGCATAGTAATGCTTCTGATGTACTTGGTGGTCTCCTGCGGAGTAATGAAATGTTAGGGCCACAGGGTAATTAACCATTAAAGTAGATGGATGGGACCAGTGTAGTTTAACAGGTAAAGCTGCCACCTGCAACTATGACATTCCATGTGGGTAATGGCTCATGTCCTGGCTGCTCCAATTCAGATGCAGCTTCCTGCTAATGGCCCAAGAAAAGCAACTCAAGATGGCCCATTTGGGGCCCTACCCTAACAAGCTGAAAGCAGCCTCCTGTCTTGGCTCCATACTGCCTTTGCAGCCATCTGGGAAGTGAATCAGTGCATGGAAAATCTCTCTTTTCTATAAATTCTGACTTAAAATTTAAGTGGATATGTTGTTTTTAAATTCATTTTATGAGCTATGCTGATCCAAAGCCAGGAACCTGGAGCCTCTTCCTCCAGGTCTCCCACACAGATACAGGGTCCCAAGGCTTTGGGCCGTCCTCGACTGCTTTCCCAGGCCACAAGCAGGGAGCTGGATGGGAAGTGAGGCTGCCAGGATTAGAACCAGTGCCCATATGAGATCCAGGTGCATGCAAGACAAGGACTTAAGCCACTAGGCTACTGCACCAGGCCCAACGTGGGTATATTAAAATTTTTTAAAGTAGATATGTGTGTCTGTGCAAGCATGGAAAATGAAATGTTTACAGTCCTGGCATTATCCAGTGAGTGGCTGTGGATTACTAAAAACTAAGAGCTGCCTACTTTTCCCTTAATTCCTAGTACCATTGTGTCATGCTAAAATGGGCATTCAGATTGTAATGGGATTTCAAGGGCACATGACGCTAATTGTAAAGGGGGGAAAGCATCATTGTGAATAGCAGGATTATTTGTTAAAGAGGTAAAGATTATTTATTTGCTTGAAACAACAGAGATCTTCCATTGCTAGTTCACTCTGTCCACAACCAGCTAAGGTGTGCGAGGCCCAAACCCCGGTGCCTAGAAGCCGGTCTCGGCTCCTGCCACCTGGATGCAGGGCTCCAAGGACTCAGGTTGTCATCTGCCCCCACCAGGACACGCAGCAGCCTGGCCAGGCAGGAGTGGACAGCCTCGGCAGTGCTGTGACTTCGTCATCTGTGTTGCTTTCTTTATTTTACTTATTATTTGGAAAGGATTAGAGAAGAAGGAAGAAAGAGCTTTCTTTCATTCATTCCCCAGTTGGGTCAAAGTCAAGGACAAAAACTCAGTCCAGGTCTCTCCTGTGTGGGGAGCAGGGGCCCCGTGGGCCATCTGCTGCAAGGAGCTAACTCATAAGTGGGGCACCCGGGGCATGAGCCAGCACCTCTGTTAGATGCCCTTGTCGCAGACTACAGCAGGAGCTTGCCTGCTGGTCCGCAGTGCCTGTCTTGTCTGCATTTATAATACTTTTTTTTTTAAATCATGATGAACATTAACCCTTCTTCAGAGTATTGCCAGAGTCTGTGACAAAGTTCTGAAAAAAATGCTGGTGTGAGGAAGAAGAGCGAGTTAGATTTCATGAGGACGTGTGCCATCAGAATGTGTAGCTGGTGGGCCCGGCGCGGTGGCGCAAGTGGTTAAGGTCCTCGCCTTGCTCGCCCGGGATCCCATATGGGCGCCGGTTCTAATCCCGGCAGCCCCGCTTCCCTTCCAGCTCCCTGCCTGTGGCCCAGGAAAGCAGTCGATGATGGCCCAAAACCTTGGGACCCTGCACCCACGTGGGAGACCCGGAAGAGGCTCCTGGCTTCGGATTGGCATAGCATTGGCCCGTTGCGCTCACTTGGGGAGTGAATCATCGGATGGAAGATCTTCCTCTCTGTCTCTCCTCTCTGTATATCCGCCTTTCCAATAAAAAACAAAAAACAAACAAACAAAAAAAAAGAATGAGTAGCTGGTGCCTTGTGTGATTTTGAGGTTTTGCCTGTGTGGCACCTCGGAGTTCACTGCCCAAGGATTCAAAGAAATGTGCACTTTTACCCTAATTAACTATGTAAAGATTGTCAAAACATAAAAAAAAGAAAAAAGAAATGTGCACTTGATCTCTGCAGTGACCTTCCCTCCAAGCAGATAGGCCGGCCGTGATCACCTCTGCTTCATAACAACATTGTTGACGTAGCACTTCGAGTAAGCGACTAAGGCTTTCTCTGGTCAGTAAATGTGAAAGCTGGAACACAGCTACTTCAGCTGTGTCCTGGGAACAGGACTTTGAGGGCCCAGAGTAACTGCAGTGGATCAGTTGTGATAGAGAAGTGTCTTCCACACAGGAAATAGAGCAGCAGTGATAGCATGGTGGGGCCCAGTGCGGCGGCCTAGTGGCTAAAGTCCTCACCTTGAATGCACCAGGATCCCATATGGGCACTGGTTCTAATCCCAGCAGCCTCACTTCCCATCCAGCTCCCTGCTTATGGCCTGGGAAAGCAGTCAAGGACAGCCCAAAGCCTTGAGACCCTGCACCTGGGTGTGGGAGACCTGGAGGAAGTTCCTGGATCTTGGCTTTGGATCAGCATAGCACCGGCCATTGCGGTCACTTGGGGAGTGAATCGTTGGACGGAAGATCTTCCTCTCTGTCTCTCCTCCTCTCTGTATATCTGACATTGCAATAAAAATAAATCTTTTTTTTAAAAAAGAGAGTGGTTCTAAGTCATGGGGGTGGAGTCGGTGCTGACTGCAAAGGGTCATTGGGAGTGGGTTCCAAAGAGGTGGGTGGGACTTGGGGCGGGAGGTGATCCTGACGCAGCAGCAATGGATTCTGGCCTGCTTGAAGTGGGTTCAGCAGGGTGGAGAAGCAGGGTGTGTGGGCAGAGGAACCCTGTAGCTGGACCCAGGGGTGAGCGAGAGTAAAGAGTAGGGCGGCAGGTGGGTGTGCGCGGGCAGCGGGTAAACACGCGTGGCAGGTGAGCCGGAATGGGAGTAGTGCAAGGATGAAAATAAGATCGATGTGGTTATTTGTAGCGAATTTGGAAAGTCTTTGTGGGCTCAGCATTTTACTGTGTGTTGTCAGTTCACAATGAAAATAATGGTGTTGCTACCTGCATGTGCCCTGAAATGTTAGAAATCCCATTTTGTTTGCTTCTTTACACTTAGCAGTCCACGGAATAGTATCAGAACCTACTTCCGAGTTACTGAATGTGTAACAATTGTTTACTTTTGCAGGATTACATTCCATCACAGCAGGATATTCTGCTCGCTAGAAGACCCACCAAAGGCATTCATGAGTACGACTTTGAAATTAAAAATGTTCCTTTCAAGATGGTTGACGTTGGAGGTCAAAGGTCAGAAAGGAAACGTTGGTTTGAATGCTTCGACAGTGTGACGTCAATACTTTTCCTTGTCTCCTCCAGTGAGTTTGACCAGGTGCTTATGGAAGACCGACTGACCAATCGCCTCACCGAGTCCCTGAACATTTTTGAAACCATCGTCAATAACCGGGTTTTCAGCAATGTCTCCATAATCCTGTTCTTGAACAAGACAGACTTGCTTGAGGAGAAGGTGCGGGTTGTGAGCATCAAAGACTACTTCCTAGAATTTGAAGGGGATCCGCACTGCTTAAGAGACGTCCAAAAATTCCTGGTGGAGTGTTTCCGCAGCAAACGCCGGGACCAGCAGCAGAAGCCCCTGTATCACCACTTCACCACCGCCATCAACACGGAGAACATCCGCCTCGTGTTCCGTGACGTCAAGGATACCATTCTCCACGACAACCTCAAGCAGCTCATGCTCCAGTGACGCACAGAGACTCGCTGGCGGAGTGACTCTTGCGCTGTAATGGTTTCTGTTTGTTTCATTTTTTAAGGTAGCAGTTTACAACAGGAGTTAGAAACAATCTTGATTCTGTGTTTGACTTCTTGGAAGTGTTAGTCCTTCTGTGGCCTTGGTGTGTGACTGGAAGCTGCTGAGTGTCACCTCCTCAGCCTCTGCCGCCGTCCGGGCGGGGCACTGGGAGGGCGGCCTTCGTCGGCGTTAGTCTTAGACTAAGCACGCTGCAGGCTTTTGTCCTTCCACCTTTCAGATGAAATTCTGCTTTAGTGCCAAGGACAGAAGGTATCCTTAAACACTTGTAGACCGATTGGTTCTAAAACAAGTGAGAACTCCCTGTTCCGCCTGACACACAGCCGTGGCAGTTGTCGCCTGGCTTCATGGTGACCTCGATTTTGAAAAGGTTCTGTTGGAATGGCGCTCTGGCTGGTCGCCGTCGCGAACAAGTGTGTGAAGGCAGTGTTGTCAGTGTGTAGACGTTTACATGAGGAGGTCTGGCGTGATTCCAGGGGAGAGTCTACTGATGGTACCAGGGAGCAAAAGGCAAGCGGATGCCTCTTTGGGAAGTTCGGGTCAGAAGTAATGAGTGAAACACAGTTTGCCTTTTTCCTCCTCAGTTAGCATGTGATCTGATGTGCCATAGATGAAACATCGTGTGGCCATCACAGCAGCTCAAACCTACAAGCAGCTTAATGACAGACTTGCTAATTCAACATACCTGTGCTAGAACGTCCTCGGTGATGCCCTTAAACCTTCCCAATTAGAGTTGAGCCTTTACAGAAGGAAAAAGTGCTGTGTTGTCACCAGTGTCTGTCTGAACCCTCCTCCTGTCCATCCACAGCAACTCGAACTGCAGCATTTATGGGATTGTTTTATTTGGTGGAGTTTGCCAAGGGCAGTATTTTCCTGTAAAACCTTTCTAGGAGGCATTTATGTGAGATCCTCCTTCATTCTAGGTGTGTCTCAAAGAGAAACAGCATGTACAAATTTGTGTACTCATGTTTATGAGATGTTAGGTACATTTTAAATGTCGAGGAGGTGTCCTGTTTCTCAGTCCCACCTGGAGATGGCTGCATTTAGCCCCCAACCCTTGTGACCACAAAAATGGCCTGGTGAGCCCTGCAGAGGGCTGGCCTGCAGCCCTCAGAGCGCTGGCACTGGCGCAGAGGAGCCAGTGTCCGAGCAAGCGGCTGTTGGAAGGCTGCCAGCCTCTCTGCTCTTCGTGGAGGGTGTGGTTGCTGACTGTGATGGCTGGCCCTGCACTGGGTCGCTGACTGGGTTCTCAGGTATCTCACTGCTCCCGAAAGGCTGTGCAGCAGTGGAGACCACACAGCCTTTCCGAGCCGCAGCTCTTGTCCGTCTTGCTGTCATGGTGGGAGGGGAGCTCTGACCTCCCTCACAGTCACCACATCCCTGTATGTTCCAGTATTTTCATGCCTTGGTCATACATGAGCTATAGACATGTAGCCCACCAACATAGTGCAGGTGCCCGTAGTATTTATCATGCATATTGGAATAGTTCTACTTGTAGTGCTTCTTGCCAAAAAAGAATACATTGTTTGAATTCAGAAGGTTAGCTTCATTTCAGTGGTAACAAATTTCCAAATATGTGCATAGTCACATTTGAACTGTTCAGTGGCAAATCTATGAGTAAATACAGCAGGTGCTTTTATTGAATGGCCAAAAATGTTTGACTCCTGTGAAGGTTTAAGTCAATTCCATGTAGGGAGAGGACGTACAGTCTTTGCATGTGTATGTGTGATGAATCATAAATTCTGCATGGCAGCACCAAGTTGCCCCAGTTTGACAACCTCCAAGAAATGTTCAAGTATCTAGAGATAGGGGTGAGAGAGAATATTATTTGAGGTCCTCTGCAGTTTTCTTCCAAATGTGTGTGATACTTAGAATTAACATTGTTTGAAAATTTAGATTATGCAATAAATTACATAAGCCTAATTTAGACGGGCTTGTTGAGCCTTCACTAGAACTTTAAGATTCAGTCTGAAGGTTTAGTCCATTTTACGTGCTCCTTCATAACTAGCTGAAGGAGCCTTCCACCCATACCCTAAAAATCAAAATCTAATCCTTTTGAAATACCCTTCAGTGAAGGAGAGAGAAAGTCCTGATGAATGAAAGTGAAAAGGTGCTTGTAATTTTCACTATGCCAATTTTCTCAAATGTCTTAAAAAAAAGTCATTGAGTTCTTTGCCATGAGTGATTTTCTGAATCCTCGTGGTTTTGGTTTGGAGTAACCTGTGCCTCGCCCTGCGTGCCTGTTGTCTGGGGACCTCCATGCCTTCTCAGTTCTAGAGGAACACCACCCACGTGTCTTGTGCTCCTGGAGGAAGCACGTGGCATTTGAGTGACCTCACAGCTCCAGCAACAGCACCAATGCAGACCTTAATTTTTATGGGAATGGGTTTTATCCAATGTTTCCTGAAAATCTGAAGCATTCAAGTCCCACCTCCGCCACCAAAGTGTTTCTAATCATCTCAATCGTTGCTTTCTGCCAAACCACATTAACATGTTCCTTTCAGCTTTATTATCTGGAGAGGAGGGTACTCCTTGGCTAGAGTGCAGCCAGAGCATGGAATAAAGAAGAGTATTTGTTTTTATTTTTGCTTTCCTGAAGATTGCATTAGCGTGTACCTGCCATGGGCTGTTCAGGCCCAGTCCTTGCTCAGTCAGTGACCGTGCCCAATTCAGAGAAGAAATAGCAAGCCTTAAGACCTTGAAAAGAAATCCTTTGCCCTGTAGCTTTTTTGTAAAAGGGAATGGGTAAATCTTAACTTTTATTTATGCTCTTGATAAAAATGTATTTTCAGCATTAAGACACATATCAGTTATGCCTTATTTATTTGAAGAATAAAGTTACCAACTGCGCTGTTGTGTCCTGAAACTCAACTGTTTTTGAGAAACCCACAAGTTGGTGCTTTCATTCTGTAACAACACATTCAGACAAAAACCCAAACCAAGCCATTGAGACGGGATTCTCTCCTTTACAATTTGTAGTGATGTTATTTCTATGTATGTAATGAGAAGGCTAAATATCAGTGTTAACTCTTTAATTTCTTGTTTGAATTCATGAAAAACCCAAACATCCGTAATAAACGGCCTAATAAATCTAGACAAAGTCACTCTTACCTTTTCATTTCTTTTATTTGAGGAATTTTTCACCAGGAAATCTGACCACATGCCAGGTTCCTTGGCCTCTTTTTCGGTCATTTCAAGGTTAAATTCCTTTGCTCACAGCCAGTCCGTCCTGCTGCTTTACCTGAGTACTGGGTTGTTCTTGGGGAGCGGGTGCGAGTTAGCCTTTCAGTCTGATAAACCCTAGGAGGCGAGAGAGGAGGGGCCCCCGTGTGCCTCCATGTTCCAAAGAAAGCAGACTGGACTCCATGCTCATCACGGTACGAGGTTAGGGCTTAATACACTCACACTGTAGGTTGAGGTATAAGTCTTAAACCCAAACTCCTTAAACCAGTTGGACTTTGCGGCTTTTTCAGGTGCCATCAGGTAGACGGGAACCTTCGCGCCCGTTAGCAGCAGCATTGGCAGCACGGTCTGCCACTCCCACTGTCACATCTGCTTGAACATGTGTTGACTCTCGCATTGTTCCGGGCTGGCTGTCAGGCTCCAGATACGAGCCAGAGCTGATGTGCAGCACTGTTTGTAAAACATTCGTGATTCGGCAATATTGTCTAGGTTCATGAGAGCTTTTTCTTGTTGACCTGTACAAACCTGTTGATTGTGATGACGGTATACATATTAATCAAAATATGCTGGAACCTTCTATGCATTACATTTGCTGTTAACGGATACCACTGTGTACTTTGACTGTTTTCTTGCCATGCCAAGTGATGAACTGCTCAAGCATGTTGGATGATTTCAGGCAAAAAGCGGGAGAGTAAGGGTCACTTCTGTAATAGTGCAACAAACCATTGCTGTTCGTCCTGCATTTACCTCTTACTTGAATCGCAAAATGTCTCCAGTGGCTTTTCTGTATGATGGTGAGAGCTCATTTACCACAAGTAGCCTTATCAGAAAGTCTATTTTGTAACAACCTCGTAGAAACTGTACCTAAGAGAATGTGGCTTGTATTCTGTGCAAAAGTTACGTGTGGCTTAGCAGTTTTTACATCTGTCTTTTTATAACTTTCCGGGAACTAAGCACATTATCTGATACTGTAAATCTTGTCACTGCTCTAGTTCAGGATTCGCAATAAATTATTTCTAAAGGAGATCTAATCGTGGAAGGAAAAACGGCCTGATTTTCTAATAGGAGGTGTTAGTTCATTAAGGCTTTTTACTTTTGTACATATTTTGCAAAAAGAAATGTCGCCTGTTGCTATTAATATTGCTTTGTATAAATTACTGACATTTAATAAACATTTACAAATGATGCAGTACTGTCATGTTGTTCGCAGTATGTTGAATGAATGTCCAGTGTGAGACAGACGCTTCAGCTTGCAAATGAGAAGTTTCCAGAAGTGATGTAGCAGAGGCCCCACCTGGGCAGGTGTTGTGCAGTACTGGAAGTGGAGAGGCAGCTGTCCGGGGAACTTCCCCGGCCATGTGATCTTGACGTGGAGCTGAGGGAAGCAGATGTTGTTTCTGCCCCTCTTGCCCTTGAGGGAATTCCATTAGCGTGTCTCTGGGCTGGGCTGTGGGCTTGCCCAGTGAGCTCACCATGCTGGCGCACCAGAATACTGCCTTAAAAATGGACTGAGTTCAGTATCTTCACCCCTTCCCCCCAGGAGACTTTATCTCAGATTATGCTTTACAGATTGTAGAGTTCCTCTCGTCTCCACACCCTTTACAGTAGGTCCCCCAATTTCTCACATTAGTGTGATTATCTCCGTTAACAAGCCAATACTAGTAGGGGTATTAACTAAAGCCTGTCATGTATCCGGACTTCCATAGTTTTGGCATAATGTCATTTTTCTTCAAACTCCTTCCTGGATCCCACGGGTCTTAACAATGATCGTCACATCTCCCTCATCTCTTGGTTTGATTCAGGCCTCCAAGCTTCTAAGACTCCATTTTGATTAGCTTGGCAGTTTTGAGGCACATTGGATGGGTGTTTAGCCGAATGTTGGTCTGATTTCTTCATGATCACGCTGGGCCCTAGGCTTGGGGACCACAGACAGAATATGTCATCAGTCTCGGCTCTCGGTAAGACACCTCCTGTCTCTTACAACTTTAGCCAAATTTTAGTTACTGAAGACTCGGGGTGTGCTGGCCCTGGTCTCAACTGGCCTTGTGAGCTGTGCGTATGTCTGCAGAGGGGAGGTGTACGCATCTCCTGCCAGTAACTGCTTCTGAGACTGTCGGCTCAGGCCTCCCTGGAAAGGGAAAGAATATTCAGGGCTTCCCTTTAGGGATTATAGTTTTTTAATTATTTGAGAGGCAGAGACACAACAAGCTCCCTTCTGCTAGTCACTCCTCAGATGCCCACAGCAGCTGAGGTAGAACCATGCTGAAGCTGGGAGCTGGGAACTCAGTCCACATCTCCCACCTGTTCCCTCCCAGGAGTCACGTTAGGAAGCTGGAATTGGATGCTGGAGCCAGAACTCCCAACTTGGGTACCCGGGGACTGTGGGCATCTTGACCACTAGGAGAAGCAGCTGCTCCTAGAGGCTCATGTATCACTTGAAGTGTTACAGCTGATTGGTCCCAAAAATTTCAGGTAGAGAATCTGGACTTTATGTCCGAAGATCTAAAAACTTGAGCTTTATCCAGTGGGTTAAACACAGCGTGAGAGGCTTAGGATTTTTCAAAACTGACGTTAAAGGAGACCCTATCATTTAAATTCCCTAGAGAAATTGTCTTTTTAAGATTTGTTCTTATTTATTTACAAGGCAGACACAGAGATCTTGTATCTACCAGTTCCCTCTCAAAATTTGCCATGACAGCTGGAACCTGGCCAGGTCGAGGCCAGCAGCCCAGGGCTCCATCCATCTCTCTCACATGCAGGGGTCCAAGCGCTTCCGTCAGGAACTGCATTGCAAGTAGAGCAGCCTGGATGCAAACCAGCACCCACATGGGGTATGAGCTTCATGTGCTATGCCACAACACTGCCCCCCCCCCAAAGAAGTCTTTTTTAAAAAACACCTTTTAGGCTGCTGCTGCGACGAGGAAATATTTGTCCATGTGAGAAGAAACTGCAGAATGTAGTCCAGCAATGTGCTGTCACGTGGTATTGGCTAAATGACCCCAGGCTATCAGGTTGGCATGGGATGCTCTCCCCCAATGATCCACACAGATTTCTCTGTGTTGTCTGAAAGAGAAATGAAGGATTTCCTGTCTCCTGGGAATGCAAGAAACTCAACAATTCAGAGGGAACCAGAGGATTATTTTTGATGACTTGGGAGACTTGGCAAATCCCCAAAGAACTGATGACTTAGAGGACGATGTTTTAAAGCCATGGTTCCATATTGCCTCAGAAATCAGCGGGGCACCTGAAATGGAAGGAGAGGGATGTTGCTGCTCCCTGTGTCTCGTAGGAATTCACTGCCAAAGTGCTGGACGCAGGCCTGCTGCTGAAGGCACGCTTGGCTGAGGTTTACTGTCCACCATGAACAGAGGGGACACTGAGGGAGGCTGGCTCCAGAACTAACCATTGGTTCTGGATAGAAGGAATCAGGCAACATGCTAGGGAAAGAAGTAATCAAGTTTGTATTACTATTTGAAAGACGGAGATACAGAAAGGTCTTTTATCTCTGCTGCTTCACTCTCCAAATGACCGTGACAGGCAGGGCTGGGCCAGGTCAAAGCCGGGAACCGGGGTCTCAATGCGGGCCTCCCACATAACGTAGCAAGGACCAACAACTTGCACCATCATCCGTGTCCCAGAGTTCCTATTAACTGGATTGGAGACAGAACCAGGACTTGGGATTCTAACCAAGCAAAGTTTTAGGATCAGGCATCTCACATGGTATCATACCCACTCCATCAACCATCTGCCCTACCATCAAGTCATTCGTTCCTTTGCAGTTAATTATACTGTAGCCTTTACACACAGCCTTGACCTTCTGACCCCATCACATGCTGATGAGAGGACAAGCTTGTAGGATGAACTGGGGACCTAAATGCTGAGAGACAACACAGCTAGCTGTCGTTTCTTACTATCACTCTACAGGCGTGAGTCTCTCTTGTAAGCTTAGGGAGCTTTAACTAGCCGGTTAATTTTGATACCAGAGTGAGTTCATACACACGGCTCTCTTCCTGATGGACTACGGATAAAAGCTGATCTACACAGGCCCACCTGACATTCCAGAGGAGGGACAGCTGCCAGCTTCATGGAAACGATGGGCATCTCTGATGGCCTTGTCCCTCCGCAGTGTGTGTCACGGTCATGTGCAGGCTCCTGGCCTGACTCCAGGGCAGCCTGGACCAGCCACAAACGCCCTTTCCCAGCAAACCTCCCCTTGGGCATCCCTCGTGTCAAGCAGGCTATGCGCACACTCCATCCATGCATCCTGTTCCCGGCTGTCCTCCCACAGGGCGGCTCCTACTCACCCTGCAAGGCCCTCCGTGGAGCCAAGTCCAGATTGCCTCCGACTCCAGTTGGGTGGGTAGTTTCCTTCCCTTGGGAACCACAAAAAGATTCATGGAGAAGGGAATTAAAAGATGTTTTGTTTTGGTTTGTTTTTGTTTGTTTGTTTTGCACCTTGTATATTTCCATGTCCATTTTGAAGATCCCCTGTAGGGATCTTTTCTCATTCTCACAATATTTGAAAACCTCCTGCCTAACTTAGAAGACTTTTTACATGTACTTTTCTTAATTTGAAAAAAAAATGTTTTAGGGCCCAGCACCATAGGCTAGTGGCTAAAGTATTCACCTTCCATGCACCAGAATCCCACATGGGCTCCAGTTTGTGTCCCAGATGGGAAAGCAGTCCAAAGCCTTGGGATCCTACACCCACATGGGAGACCCGGAAGAAGCTCAGATCGGCTCAGCTCCAGCTGTTGCAGCCACTTGGGGAGTGAACCAGCAGATGGAGGATCTTTCTGTTTCGTCTTCTCTCTGTAAATCTGAATTTCCAATCAAATAGATCTTTTTTTAAAAATGTTTTAAAAATAACTTATTGGAGGGCCCGGCGCGGTGGCGCAAGTGGTTAAAGGTCCTCGCCTTGCACGCCCGGGATCCCATATGGGCGCCAGTTCTAATCCCGGCAGCCCCGCTTCCCTTCCAGCTCCCTGCCTGTGGCCCGGGAAAGCAGTCGAGGACGGCCCAAAGCTTTGGGAACCTGCACCCACGTGGGAGACCCGGAAGAGGCTCCTGGCTTCGGATCGGCATAGCATTGGCCCGTTGCGCTCACTTGGGGAGTGAATCATCGGACGGAAGATCTTCCTCTCTGTCTCTCCTCTCTGTATATCTGCCTTTCCAATGAAAAATAATAAAAATAAATCTTAAAAAAAAAAATAACTTATTGGAGATGCAGAGAGATGAAAGAAGCTGCTGTGAGCCGATTTACTCCTCAAATGGGCACAATGGTCAGGGTTGGATGTTCTTGTCTTTCCCACAGGTGGCAGGGATGCACAAGCTAGCCTTATCACTCTTACACCCCAGGGTATTTATCAGCAGGATACTAGAATCTAGATCAGAGTGGGACTCAAGCCTGGGCACTGTGCTACAGGACATAGAAGGCCCCACCCGTGCCTTAACTGCTAGGCTAAGCACCTACTCCATTAGTGTGGGGAGTTTTTTTTGGTTTGTTTTTTTGTTTTATTTTTGTAAGGTTTTTTTTTTTTCTATATTCTTGACCTCATGGGGAATTTTTCTATGACATGCTGTAGATATTCTGAGCATACTGTTAGTCTCTCTTAGGTGCTTAAATTTAGCATCTGGGCTAGGGTTGTGGTTCAGGTATACCAGCTGCCGCCTGTGACACCAACATCCCATATGAAGATGCCAGTTCCATTCTCACCTTGCTTCTGATGCAGCTGCCTGCTAACACACCTGGGAAAACAATGAGAAATGACCCAAATTCCTGGGCCCCTGCCCTCACGTGGGAAACCTGGATGGAGTTCCTGGCTTTGGCTATTGGGATACAGGATTACAAGAACCTGAACTTAGAGTGGCATGAGCATTGGGGTATAGGTGAGACTGTGCATGGGCCACCTAGGCTGAGAAGAGGAGGGGTCAGCAGGAGACCGTGGTTTCAAGAGGCCAGCGATTCATCCTAATAGGAGAAGCAGGGGGAGGTGGGTGCCGAGAAGGGCAAAGAAAGAGAAAGCCAACAGCCAAATCATACTATGATGTGTGCTACTGCCATGGAGCTTCTTTCTCATTTGGCATAGGGTCCACATTTTTCCATGGTAGAATGTTGGCAAAAACGAAGAGCTCCCGGCCTTGTTGGGGGTGACACTGGGGGAAGGAGTGGGGCCTGGGCCTGA